TCAGTGAAATCATTCGTTTGAAATCAGTTAAGCAAACACATGTGATTGCAAATGTAAAATAAGGACTCAGTGTTTGATTTTTGAGGAGTTCTCAAAGATATTTACCTTGTATGAAGTAGTTAGAATATAGAATTATTCACATTATTGTGATCTTTCATGTTTTCCAGGTAATACTTGTAAAAAGGAAAGCTAGAGATCCCAGAGAGCTTTAGAGAGCTCCTAGAGAGAACATACAGTCATAATGAAGAATAAGAATGAAGAATTTTCACTTTTTTTTTGCAACAATCTGCCTTTGCAAGCTTAAAAAGCAATTAATATTTCAGATTATTAGCTGAAAGCTTGTCTTACCCTGAAACAAATTTTTGCTTAAAGCGAAGACTATGGCATCAGATACATTTATTTTTTCAAAGAATGAGAACTGAACAGTTCAGAATTGCAATGCAAAAGACAGGCCTTCCAAAGTATCAGTATCAGCTTGCATTTGGCTTGCTGTAATTTTGAACTGCCAGGTGCTATCCAAATCCAGATTCAGATCTTAAGAGGGTTTTTTTTTTGTTTTGTTTTATTTTTTAAATTTTGAATTAACTGTTTATAATTATAGCTCAGTTTCCATGCTAGCATTTGCCTTGGACTAATGATTGATGATTAAGACAGGTAAAGACTCTTCATAAGGCAGTCACCACTATAAATTGCTTTGGAAGTGCAACGTGGTCCCACTAATGCTGTTTAAGTAGACAACTCACGTGGATGACCTAGTATCCAATGCGCTCAGTGCGGTCTGGTCACAATTACAGTAAACTGCACCAGAAATCTGAACAAAACCCTGCACTCAGGATTTCCTTGCGATAAGAATCAAGGGAGTTCGCACCACAAAGAAAGATTAGATGGGAGGAGATGCCAAGATGTGGCRTGCGGATCTGTCTTTTGACAGCTGTAAAGCAAAGCCGTCTCCATCTAGCAACCAAGGCAGCCTTCAACCTGCCAAGGGCCAGGAGCGCAGCATGAGCCTGCAGGATATGTGACAGATGCATAAACTGAGGGACGCCGCAAGAAATAGCAGAGAGGAAACTTGAAATGCTGCTGGGTGCATTTCTTTAATATAAATAATGTTTTTCCCCAAAACCTCGGTTTCATGATTCAGCATTTCTGTTGGCACCAAAATTATAGTAACAATTTAAAAATAGATTCAACAAGTCTGAGAGAATATGCTGGTAAGTTCAGACCAAAGAGGAGGAAGTCTCTGGAACAGCAGTAGTAATAAACAGCAGTAATAAAAAGAACTGAGACTCCCCTCTCCCTTTCATCCAGTAATCGCAGTATAATGCTTTTAAAAGGAAATATCAAAAGGACTTTGCAAACAAGCATTACTTATGATATTCTCACAATACCTTCTGAGGCAGATATGATCATGCTTATTTTATAGATGTATAAACTGACTCACTGTATTAAAATAGTTTGACCAAGGTCTGCTGGAAAAACAACAGGAGAAAAAAAGAATATACTCTTTAACCCGTTACTAAATACTAGCAATGTGCATGGAAGAAGCAACCAAATTGAAAATTATACATAGGGTAGCTACTGTAGCCAATTCTTCCCTGTTTTATTTTTCTTTTGCTTTGTAAGTCACGTGTGTTTGCTGTTCAGCTTGAAATATAGTTAGTGGGAACTGCTGGGGCTCAGCAATTCTTAGGGGGAAAAAAAAAAGCTATTTGAAACTGATTGCTAAAGATGCTAAACCCTCAGAGCCACAGTYTTGCTACTGGCTAATGACAGCCACCAAAGGTGTCCTCGGCAAGTCACTGATGATCTGGCACCCAGCAATCCAGACTTGGGTCCCCCTTTTTGCATTCCCCCTTAGAGCACTGACTCGAGCTAAGAGCATCTGCACATTCCCAAGGACCCAGCCCTTGGCTCCTTCATACTTAGGTTTTCTCTGACTCTGCAATGACTGAAAATTCTTTGTTTTTCTCAGCTGATCCACTTTCTATGTTTATGTAGAAACATCCTAACAGATGTAATATAACTGTTGTGTATTCCTCTTGGACTCTCTCAATCAGAAAAACTATTGACTACATTTTATTATTGACTAGAGTCTCATGTCATCCTATTTTCTTCAAACTGCACTTGCACTTATTGCATTAATTTATTGCATTCATGGACAGTGCTGGTACCTGAAAGTGGGAGGGTTGCTCCTGCAGCTTTGAAACCCATCAGCTTTCAAGGGGAAAACTGATAATGTCAAGGAAGAGGAGGGCATGGTGTTGGGAGACGACCTTGTGTTCCTAGTAGTGGTGATATGCAAGCCCGAAGAACACAGCTTGACACTCAAGTCCTGAGGTGGACTTGCAGAGCTAGTAGTTGAAAACTTTTCCTTTTTTTCATGAAATTCGCTCGGAAATCACTAGGACAAATAAGCACGAGACCTAGCAATGCCATCTACAGCCGAGCATTTCACYCTCAGAGCCCAACGACATTTGTGAGCTGCCCTCCCTGCTGCCTCCCTGTAAACTGAATCCCCCCTGTGAACTCTCCTAGAGTCTTTTTGAGAGCCCTATGCACAGTGGGTAACTGCATTACTAATTTAGTTTGCTGAGCATTCAAACTATTATGTTTTCTTAGTCACGGAGAAAGGCATTCAACTACTGCTCTCTATATTGAACGGTGTAATGCTGTGGGATATTGTGTGGCTGGATATACTCTCTTCCCTCATCACCACTTTAACAACATAAAAGAAGCAAACTTGGCTCCTAGCACAATTCAAAAAAGGATGCTGGTATTTTATTGTGATCAAAGAACGTATGTTTCTGAATACAATGCATCAGCTATAAAGGAAATATTTTTTCTCTTTTCACTCTTTACTGCATCATTTTGAGGCTGTATATCACACATTCAGTGGAGAGTCCCTGGCTCAGAGAAATGCTCTAGTTTTTAATATCAAATATTGTTATTTTTTCCTCTCCTTCTGYATATACCCAGAAGTCAGAAGTTACTACCTAATGCACTGTTGTACAGAACACAGAATCTCGTTATCTCTCCATCAAATTCAGTATTTGATATATTTTTTAATATCATCACATCTCATAAAAATCCATATTTAAATACCATGTTGTTTAAATATTTTATACTGCTATTTAAGTAGAAGTGGGCCAGAAAAAATCTCAACCCAAAACCTGCATGCATCTTGGTGAGTCACTGCATCCAGTTTACACTCCAACTTTGTTCCTCAGTTTGCAGAAGAACAAGAATTAAAGTTAGAGGTCCGCACCCATATTCCAAACACTGTGAGTGGTCAGAGCTGCAACTACGTTTTGCTCTTATTTTTGTTTAATAGGAACTACCACATGGCATGTGTGCTCTGTGTTTGCAGTACCTTGTCTCTGTATCTATAAAACCCCAAACCATAAAAAAAAAAGGCAAATTTTTCATAGATTGTTAACTTTGGAAAAGATGCACAAATACCTATTAAAGGCAGAATGAATCATCATGAAATTTCCATTCCACAGTAAAAYTGGTATTTCATTTTGACCAGGGAAGAGTTCTTCATTTCTCCCTATTTGCTCTGGCTTTACTGAAGTTTATTGAAACAGCAAAATGAAACACTCTGATTTTGTTGAAATGCAACATTTATGTAACTTTTTAGTTACCTTTAAGATGAAGTTGATAAATTCTTATAAAATGTTTAAAATCCGTTCAGTCAGCATATTCCAAAAAGAGCATTTCCAGTGGGATATTTTAAACATTAACATTAGTGGCTTAAGTGCATGTTCAAGACAGAGTGAAAAGCAATGGAGAACTTGCTTTTTATCTTCTTATTAACCTATACATATGGCAACTTCTCTTACTGGGAAACCTGACTTAAACCCGAAGTGCCACGAACATAAGTATCTTTACACTTACAGAGAGAGTCAACAGCAGCACTGGCTGGGAAAATAAAACTACCCATGTATTTTGATGAGCATTTTGGGACAAGTTAAAGCAGGACACGGGTTTGCAGAGTTACTGCACTGCAACCAGCAAGGATCGGTCAAGGATCCCAACTAGTGTCCCCAGAAATCATTATGGAGCAGGACATCTTGAGCTATGTGCTCGGCAAGGCCTGTTTTGCTAATGCAGCTGCACTGCTCTTTCCATATTTGCTAGCTTGCTCAGAGGCAAATCAAGCATCCCTGCATGGTACCGGATAGATGAGACTGGAGGTATTACTGAACGTGTAGTCATGGTGTCTTATTTTTCAAAAATACTATCACTTAAAACACTGCCTGTAAAGACGTTGAAAAACAAGACTGCAAACTGCTGAAAAGTGAGCTAAAAAAAAAAAAAAAACAAAAAACCACTAAACTGAAAACATATGGCAGGTGCAAGTTACATGCAAGTTTTATAATTTCTGAAAATACACTTGAAGAATGAGAACTGCAAATGTTTCCGGTCTGGATGGCACATATTAAGGATCACATAATGTGCTCCATGATATTTGCCAGGTCTGAAAGTGCTCTTATGCTAGTGAACTTCTATTAATTTCCCTGAGAGTAATAATGGGCAAGAGGGTTGATAGASTCAAGTCCTTCTCTAAATTGTGCCCAATGGTTTCGAACACAGGATGGCTGGGATGGTTAAAATGCTGAATCTAAGCCATTCAAGGCAGACTTGAGTTTCAGAGATTTTCAGACTTCAGTTATCCATGTCCCTTGGTTTCTGCCTTTCAGTATTGCTTRCTTTCTACATCTCATTAGTTCACAGTTGTATGTGGGGCTGGAAGTTGAAGGACCAAAATTCCATGAGGGAGCCAGTCTCTCATGGCCTAAACTGAACTAGGAACTACTGCAAGATTTCCAAACAGATCTTCCAGATCAGAGAGGTAGGGATAAGCCTAAATAATTATAGGAACCCAGCTTCCAGACCTTCCCTGTTTGTCCAGTGCCTTGCCTGCCACACAGTAGTGTGCAGCAAACTCAGTTAATGGTCTCAATTCCATTATAATGTGTCTTTCTGCTTTTCTTCAGAGCTTTGTCATCCGTGGTGGCTTTAGGAGCTAATATAATCTGCAACAAAATCCCGGGCTTGGCCCCTCGACAACGAGCGATCTGCCAGAGCCGCCCCGATGCCATCATCGTGATCGGAGAAGGGGCACAAATGGGAATCAATGAATGCCAGTACCAGTTCCGGTACGGGAGGTGGAACTGCTCTGCCCTGGGGGAGAAAACGGTCTTTGGACAAGAGCTTCGAGTAGGTAAGGGAGTCACTAAACAGTGCTAAAATGTTGCATAGGGGCTGTTTGTCTTTTACCTTTCCCATTGTGGTCTTGCAAAGGTCTACGTCCCTTAGGGGTTTGCTTACTAGAGCTAAACGGTGACACTCCCCGATAAACAGCAGTCTTCATCTTATCTTTGCACTCACTTTTTTCACTGAATAAGGGATAAGAAATCTTTACTGCTTTCCAGGTAACCTTCCATAACTGTGCGGTTTCACCTCTAGAAATGTCCCAGATGCCTCTATGGGCACCTAAGGACACAGCCATCACCCTCCCTTCTGTTGTCATGACAAGTGTATTGCATACCTCACCTGGTCAAAACAGAAATAAGATCAGTTCCAAAAAACCTCCACAGACCCCGCAAAACTTAAGCAGTAGGGATTTCCCACCTAACTGATAGAAACACTGTGCACATGACATCAGCTTTGAACTCAAAAATGTTTGCATATTGTGTCAGATTCTTCTTTGGGTGATTTTTTCTTTAATTCAATTGTTCAGGTGGGTCTTCTGCCTGCAACACAGTTGAATGTGCTCAGATGTAAGATCTCTTTAAAAATACAAGAAAAACTGGCATAACATTTCAACACATTTGTGATAGGAGGAAATGGCTTACATGGTGCTTAAACTGTTACTATTATAGAATCATAATGGTTGGAAAAGACCTTTAAGATCACAGAGTCCAACTGAAAAGCCTTCAACACCACACCTGATAAACCATGTCCCCAAGCGCCTCATCTACACATTTCTTGAACACTGCCAGGCATGGTGACTCCACCACTTCCCTGGGCAAGCTGTTGCATACTTCACCCGTCTTTCTGTGTAGAAATTCTTCCTAATGTCTAAACTGAACCTTCTCTGGTGCAACTTGAGGACATTTCCTCTTGTCCTATCTGTAGTTTCCCTGGAGAAAAGACTGACCCCTGCCTCACTACAGTCTCTTTTCAGTTAGTTGTAGAGAGCAATAAGGTCTCCCTTGGGTATCCTCCAGATTAAATAACCCCAGCTCTCTCTGCTGCTCCTCATAATATCTGTGCTCCTGCCCCTTTACCAGCTTCAATGCCCTTTTTTGGACATGCTCCAGTACCTCAATGTCTTTCTTGTAGTGAGGGGCCCAAAACAGAACACAGTATTCAAGATCAAGGCTGTGATTTTCTTTCTCTAACACAGCCGTGAAATGAACATTAAAAAACAGAGGTATGCTTAATGACCGAGCTGAGTTTTTTCAAAGAATACACAAACCTGAATGAAGTTTGGAAGTCTTAAGGGCACAATGGCTTAGGTGTAAACTAGTGCAATAAAGGAAGGCCACTGACATCAAAGGAACTGAGTTACCCCAACAGAGAATCTGTTTTATAGTCTGCAACCAGTACTCCGTACTGAATGCCAGAAGTGGAGAGGGCTGAAACTAGTAATAATCCCTTCTCTTCCTGCCCCGAATTAATGGCAAAAGACAATTCTGAGCTTTTTGGTAGCATTTCACTTTGATGCTGAAAAACTGATGGTGAGGTAGGAATTTACTAGGCATTCAATGTTGCTTGTCAGTGCTTCTGTTCACATTTCTCTTATGATATGTCTGTTTAGACATATCAATTTTTGTTTCTTTCAAAGACTGTAATGAGAAGGCACTAAAACATCCTCAAGACACTACATATAGGAAATAACCTAACATTTGACTTTTACCTTTACCTTAACCTCGAAAAAACCCCACCACATTTTAATCACGTCTCAGTGGTTAGAAACACAGGTCTCGCCCTCCTTGGCTTATTTTACGCTTGTCTGTCTTCAGTTGAAAGCCAAACTGATATTGCTGGCAGAAAACATATTAGTGCATGCTTTGGTTTTATTTTTTATGCTTCACTGTCTTGATCTACCAAGCCCTGTACACATGCCCTGACCATTAAACAAGTAAATTCTCCTAACTTCTGGGAGACAGTTTATGCCCCTGAAAACTGACACGCTCTGCAAAGCTCTACTGTTGTGTCATTCCCAAACTTTCTAGTGAAAATGTTTTCACCACTCTGCCTTCCTCTTTAAGCTGAGATCCTTGTGAAGCCGTATCAGCTCCATGAATATGCTCATGAGCATCAATTCCTCTCACCACTGAGGCTGTGCTTTCATCCTTAGAAAGCTTGCAAGTGTGCACAGTTTCATGTCTAAGGGTCTAAAGAACACTAAAGACTCATGCCTGTGTTTTCATTTTGAACATTGCTATACAAAAGAAGAGACATGGGGAACAATGATTATTTGGCATAAGGACAGACCAGCTATCAGGATGGTCAGACTATGGAAAGGCTCAAAACCGGGATTTTCTTGAGCCATTCTTTAGGTCACATGTGCCAAAATGTTCACCATATTCCTGACCTCTTCACCGAACCTGGGTGGTTTCTTGCAAATTTGAAATGACTGATGTGGAATTTGGTGAGTTCTTTTACGACTTAACCCAAACACAGACATAACTTGGCAGTTGCAGCTGAGTTTTGCTTTGACATTTGTTGGGTGTGAAACCACACAGACTATAACCCATGGAAAAAGTTTACATGACCCCTGCCAGCTGAACCAGATGAGTTCCATGCAGGTCTATAAAGGCTTCCATAATCCACATGTCTTTATTTGTTTTACTAGTGGAGTAGCACCCAGAGACGATGTGGTCAGTATCTGGGCAAAGGATGGAGTTTAGGAAATGGTGGCGTTATACTGGTGGAGGAAAAAAAAAAAAGAAAAAGAAAAGGAGGACAAAGTCAAAATATACAGATTTAAACTTAAAAGATTCAAAAACTTGTAAGCATAAGTATTCACATATGTAACAAAACACATCTGCATATGACAGATACAGAAACATTAAACCAGACATTTGGCTCTAACTGAGCAGACTGAAGAAAGGACTAAGACTAAAGAAAAGGAAAGGCAGTATTTTGATTGCTATTGTTATTCACTTTCCCCCTATTATAGTTTCTTCCAGAACCTCTTAAGGGGAAGAATAATCAAGGCAAGGTATTCAGGTTGTAGAGAAGACCCTTTTTTAGCTATCAAGCAAAGACTCTTATCACTATCATTCAGCAGTGAAGGCTTAGGAGTATTCTAATCTGCAGCCCAATGCAACTCACTCCAGCCACCTCCTCTCTCTGCTCCAAAAATCCCAAACCACATAACCTGATTTTTTCCCAACAGCTGTGGATCAGATGCAACCAGGCACTTCCTGGGAGCCAATGAGGTCCAAGTGTGTACATCTTCTGGCACAATCAAGAAGCAACCAGAAGATGTGACCTAAAACCAGTTGTTTAGCCATTTGTCTTCCAGAACTCCACTATGTCAGGGGAATTCCCCAAAAGTTACCAATACTGAACTAGAGCTGAGCTCTTTTTTAATTTCCAAAAAGGACTTAAATGAATGGGTGGTTATCACCCATTAGTTTCATGGGAAATCTACTAAACACTATGCAAATAGGTTGTTCAGAGAACAAAACAACAACTGTAGCAATTATGTTATACATGGGGCATTCATATTTATGTGAAAGATTTATAGCAACCAGAGATAAAAAGTGACAGAGAGATTCATATTAGTAGCATGAACAAAGGATGTGGCATGGGATGAATTAGCTGAGCATTGCGTGTAGTTTTTTTCTTGTATATTTATAGCTGGGAACATTTCCATAATCATTGTGCCCCCAAATAAAAGTGTCACTGCTCCATTCATTTTACTCACTCTGTCCCTGTGCATGCTCACATGTGATACCATACTACTCCTATCTCTATTATTCATTGGAACTTCTCACAGAAAGGCACTTTCCACTCTGCTTGCTATAAGATGCCTTCTTTGATCAAAAAATTCAAAAATTAATAGGTTAATCGCATATCAATCAGTATTATATACTTGTTATTGAAAACTTAATGTCCTACACACCTGTTAAGACCAACACTCCTGATTTGGACATGGACAGAGTCTGATCCTCTTTGTTTATTGATGCAAAAGTGCTTCAGAGCTGAGGACTGGTCTGAATTGCCTCAGATGGTGGTTGGAGAAATCTCTTGTAAAGATAACTCTAAAACATATGCATCATGAATAACAGTTGGAAGCAAATAACTACTTGGCAGCAAATAAGTAGCCAGTGTAGCCTCTAAAGCACATAGTCAGAACCAATAACAGAAGTGAAATCTGCTATTGTTTTGAAGTGCACAATGCTGGCTAATCATTTGTGCACTGACCATTTCCTCTGCATTTCTTCATACTGAAGCGCTCACAGATTGCTCTGCACAGTGTTAAATCCAGACAAAAATAAAGGACAGAGGATAAAAGTGTCTTTGAAAAAAACAGCTGACAAGATATCCAAATTAATCTGTAGATACCTGCTTTCGTAGACTCAAGACATGGAAAACAATTGGCTTTAGTGGTGTTCACATGGCTGTGCTTCAGGCACTTCAGGATGTCTCAAAGAGAACTTTTCTGGCATGGTGCAGGGAAAAATAACTCATTGAGACAGAAACATGACAGGGAAGAATCAACAAAATATGGGACAATAATTAAGAGGGTACTGACATATTGAAGGTTTTGTAAATCTCTCACCTACTTTTTGTAGAATATCTGCATCTTGAAAGGATGCTTCTGTGGTGGAGCTAACTCTTACTTGCAATGAATGGTTTAAGAGAAGGGCAGCCTTTAAGGATCTTCTTATCACCATGCATTCACTCATGATTTGCTCCATCCTCTGGAAAGAAAAGGGAAGAGAGGGAAGAGAAAACTAAAATTTTAAGGGCTATCATAATTGGTGTGTGGATTTTATGAATACACAGCGTTTTTGAGAAATAAAGTAGGACATCCTATTTAGATACACACATTGACTCATGCACACAAAAGCACAAGACAGTTAAGAAGGCAAGTGTAATTTTGAACAGAAAATTAAGGAACAGAGGGGAGCATATTCTGAAGGAAAGATACTCATAAATGAAGTGGTAATTTGAATGTTTATGTTGGAAACAAAGAGC